TTCGCCGTGGGGGGCGCTTTGGGTAACATGCAGCAACTCCCGCTCGCCGAGGCTGGCAGAGCCGCCGTCGCCGAGATGGGACGCTTGGTCACTAAGTTTGGGGAAGGGGGCGCCGGCAGGCTCTGGTTGTTGGGTACTGCTACTTGTGAGACTTACTTGAGATGCCAGGTTTATCATCCCACCATGGAAAATGATTGGGATCTTCAGGCAGTGCCGATCACCACCAGAGCCCCTCTTCCTGGAATCTTTCCCAGGTTTTTTTTTCTTTTTTTATCCTTTTTTCTGCTTCCTTTCATCAATTTACTATTTCATTTCATCTTCATCACTCTAGAACTTCTCTACTTGTTTCGTTACAAGATCAAATCAAATGATTAAGATTGTTGTTTTATGTTTGATGGAGTCGAATTAACGGCTGTTCTTCATGGGATCAATTAAGATTGCAGTTGGGGTGAATCTTGTCTGATATGTTAACTCTGTTTTGTTTCTGTTGTTGTTGTTTTTTTTTTTTTTTTTTTTTTTTTTTTTGGTTGCGGGATTTTTAACCAGTAGCTTGCTTGAACTCCCACGTATTCCATTTTGAATGTAGAACGTGTGATGTTTCTGTTTCTGTCGACAGTGTTTTAAGACAGGAGGATATTTAGCTTTTTGTCTACCTTTCCACTGTTTGCTTGATTAGCCTCTGATCTGGAACATGGTTATTGTGTCCCCGGCATTTGGTATTGTATTATCGTGTTTGTGAGTGTGATCAATTTTTTTTTACTTGTAAATAAACCAGGCTTGGGACCAATGGTATTCTGGGTTCTTCGCTGGAGTCTTTGTCCCCGTTGAAGAACTTGCCCACTACGACAATCACTCCACTGAGGCGTGCCTCTGAGAATATAGATCCTGCTGCGGCATCAATTTGTTGTCCACAATGTATGCAGAGCTGCGAGCAAGAAGTGGCAGAAATGTTGAAAGAAACTGAGAAACCTGATACTGAACTCAAATCAGAGTCAGCTCGACCGTCCCTTCCACAGTGGTTACAGAATGCTAAAACTAATAATGATAACGCCAAAGTAACGGATCAGGCACAGGTGAATTTGATAAAAATAATTGCATTTGTTGTTTGGTGGGTTTCTTTGAAAATACATTTCTTGTAACTGTTGTATTCCTTTGTCATTTAATAGAGTAACAACCAGGAAGGGAATGTGAAGAAGAGGACTCAAGAAATACAGAAGAAATGGCTTGATGCCTGCTCGAGTTTACATCCTAAATTTCATCAGCTAAATGGGAGCACAGAGAGGCTTAATCCAACTCCTTTGTCAATGACGGGCCTGTACAATGTGAACTTGCTGGGGCGCCAATTCCAACCCAAAATACCTCTGAATAAAAACTTAGGAACCTCTTTGCAATTGAGCTCAAATCCAATGTCCATCCACCCACCAGAGCCTGTAGTGAGCCAGCAGCAAAGTCCAGTAACAACCGACCTGGTCCTTGGGCAAACAAAGGCTGCTGAAGAAACACACAAAGAAAGCATTAATGACTTCTTGAGCTGCCTCTCTTCTGAGTCACAAGACAAGTTCGATGAATTGCAGAGCAAAAAACTACTCGATGCGGACTCATTCAAGAAGCTCCTGAAAGGCCTGACAGAAAAGGTGTGGTGGCAGCAGGATGCAGCGTCAGCAGTGGCCACCACAGTGACCCAATGCAAACTGGGGAATGGAAAAAGACGATCCAAGGGTGACACGTGGTTACTGTTCGTGGGCCCTGACAGAATTGGCAAGAAGAAAATGGCAGCAGCTCTTTCTGAGCTGGTATCTGGGTCCAACCCAATAATAGTACCTCTGGCCCAACGCCGCGGGGAGGGAGGAGACTCTGATGCCCCTCATCTCCGTGGAAAAACGGCACTCGATCGAATAGCAGAGGCCATCAGAAGGAACCCACTTGCTGTCATCGTGCTCGAGGACATTGATGAAGCCAATATCCTTCTTCGCGGTAGCATAAGAAGAGCCATGGAACAAGGGCGGTTCCCGGATTCTCACGGCCGTGAAATCAGTCTTGGAAATGTCATGTTTATCCTCACTGCTAATTGGTTGCCGGAGGACCTCAGATACCTTTCCAACGGGTCTCCACTGAACGAAGAAAAGCTTGAAAATTTAGCGAAAGGAGGGTGGCAACTGCGCATATCAGTGGGTAAGAGAGCATCAAAACGAAGACCCAGTTGGCTATCCGATGAAGACAGGTCCTTGAAGCCCCGGAAGGAGGCCAATTCAGGGTTGTCGTTTGATCTTAATGAAGCTGCTGATGATGCAGAGGACGACAGGGGAGATGGGTCACTCAATTCAAGCGACTTCACAGTGGAACATGAAGACAACAATCACCATGTCTCAGCAATACCTCGCGAGCTGTTGGATTCTGTGGACGATGCCATCGTCTTCAAGCCCTTGAATTTTGATATCATTCGGCGAAATTTCTCCGCTTCCATCGCCAAGAGGTTCTCGGCGGTGGTGGGGAATGGGGTGTCGATTGAAGTGCAGGAGGAGGCTCTTGACAAGATCACCAGCGGAGTGTGGTTGGGCCAAACCACCATTGATGAATGGATGGACAAAGTGTTGGTTCCCAGTTTCCACCAACTGAAAAAGAATATGAATTCAAATACACATGACCATGATGAGTCTTCCATGCTGTTTAGGCTCGAAGACGACGGCTACTCCGATCGCTGTGCCTCTCAAGAATGGCTGCCTGCTGCTGTGAGAGTGGTGGCGGAATAGTGTTCAAACTTCAAACACTGCTCAATGGTCATATCCGTTTTGTTGGTGGTAGAAATGTAAATACAAACACTTTGGCACGGAAAAGTCAAAGCCGCTTAGTAGAACCAAGAAAAACCGTTACAAGGCTTGTCGGGGGTGTCAATTTTTTTTCCCTTAGAAAAAGATTAATTAATTTTTGCGTTATAAACTTTATATTGTTTTTTTTTTCCTTTTGTAAGAATAGGTATATTTATTAATTAAACTGAGAATGATCATTATATTAATAAAAGGGAGCATTAATTCCTGTTTTCCCCCTTTCACTCTTTGTCACATTCTATAATCTCTCCTCAATCTTATAATAAGATAAGTATGGATAACACGAACTTTTTTTTAATATATTTTTCTTATTACAAAATATTGCGAGTCTTATTTTACATTTAAGTGACTTTTTGTAATTTATTTTAATAATTTTAACTAACTGTAAAAAAATGTGTTAGGAGTGTGATGTCAGCATTTTTCTTATAATAAATGATATGCAATGTTAATGATTTATTACTAGTATTTAGTAGTAATAAACTATTGGTTCAGTTGGAGTGGTTGAACGATAGTATATATTAACCTAATTATAAGAAGGCTAGGAATAGGAGAGAGTTTGCGGTTTAGTTTAAGCTGACAGAAGGAAATGGACTCCGCTTTTAAGAACTCTTTTTAAACTACTAAATTTATAGTGTAATACACATTTCGATATAGCATATTTACCATTAAGATACATTTTAATTGTGTTCAATTATTTAAATTAATATTATCAATCTTTAAATTAAAAGATTTCTTTTTTATTTAGTTGATATATTTTATAAATGGTGTTAAAAAATTCTCATTTTTTTACCTCGATTTTTTTTTTAAATTTGAGAATAAAAGGATAAAAATTATTGTTATATTTTTATGAATTTTGCATACAATTTAGAAACAAAAAATAAAAGAGTACGTATAAAAGAAATAAAAAGAGGGGAGAAAATGGTAGTTTAAGTGGAGATGGAAAATGATGGATAGGCAGAGGTAAAAGTAAAGAATAAAGTATAAGGAATCAGTTGCTGAATGATGATTGATTTGAAGGCAGCGGCATCTGTAGTTTCGGGCTCTTTTCTGTCTCATCTAAAAGGTGTCAAAATAAGAGACCTGATTCCGCTGACACCACCACGTCGCCACTCGCCATACCTCTTTTTTCTTTTTTCTTCTCTTTTTTTATTTTTAAATAATATATTATATGCTACTATCTCTAAGACAGCTGCTTAATCTTCTTAATCAACATTTCACTATTTCTGACACTATTTATATTAGAATTCACCGTTCTTAATATTTTTTTTTTTATAAAAATTGGGAGTTAATTGTAAATTAATTTTAAATTCTTGAAGATTACATTATTGAAAAAAAAATAAACTTGAAGTACTTAAATTTCACCTGAGATTGTGTAGGATTCACTAAGAACGAGTTAAACCATATTCTACCCTATAGTTGCATTATTGGAAATGCTATAAGGATTGTCTTTTATGTTACAGATCAAAAAGTACATTTTTATGATGTAAAAACTAAAAGTATAATTTTTTGTATGAAGATTAAAGTGAAAATGAGTCATAAATATTAAAACCAAACTTTTAAGGTAGATTCCGTATTACAATAATAGCAGCGACATAGATAAAAGTCATAAATGGTCTGGCAGAGTTATGCACGAGACAATTTTAAAGTGACAAAAAAAGACATAAGTATATAATTTTTTGCAACACATGGTTGAAGGTGTTATAAAGGATGAATGAAGAGAAGAAGGGGCAGTGGCAGCATGAGCATCCCATCCCATGAGAAATGCATGTTTGGGCGTAGAGCAGAATGTTTATCTAATTTTTACTAACCATGTCTAATAGTTGATGAAAAATGGTGGCAATTATTATTGGTAGCGTAGAAACAGAGCATGAATATATGATATATGAACATGTAGTACCTACCGACAAAGAAATGAATGTTTTAGAGTTATCAAATAAAAGGAAACTTGATGATAAAGAATGTATGTTCCTAGCTATACCGTTATGTTATGGAAGGCGTCATTATCAAATTTGTTTGCAAAAGAAAAGGAATGAAGAAGGAAAGTAAGAAAGGCCGGCGATGAGTTGTACATATTGATAAAAACTGGTTTCGGATCCAAACCTGTTTTCAACGCTACGTAACTAAGGCCATTAATGCATGACTTTATTGGTTATAGTTTTGGACTACGATTCCACCACCGATGCTTCATGCTTCATGCTTCATGCTTCATGCTTCATGCTTCATGCATACTTCACATTCATTCAATTCCTATTTCCCCATTTTTGACTCTCTCTTCTCCTTTAAGACTTCAAACCCTGCATGTGTTCTCATTTATTTTCATTCCCCCCACTTATTAATCATATGTTTCGTCTTTTTTTCTCCACCCTCCTTCTCTCTCAAATTTCTTCAACTCATGGACTTCCAACCCTGGCCCTCTCCTTATGTGCCCATTTTAGATTCAATCCATGCCCCCATCATTTTTCTTTACTCTACCTGCTAAGTGTACAGATCATACTATTACTATTATTATTATGGATTCATTACATATAAGATTTAATGGACCCATTAGATAAATAGTTTTTCTACTCTTCCGCCCCCAGATCAAGAAGGATATAAGTTTATTTTTTAAAAGATCTAGATAGCATTTATAAGAATCAAAGGTAGACTCAAATTGCATACCTTGTATTGAGCGCCCCAGTATATAAGTTCTCATTCAAGAGATAATTTTCTATAGTAGTTATCACCGGTTTGAATGAATATCATGGTCTTTGTATGATTTTTTTTTATTACTGTATTATTAGTAACACATCTTACTGATAATTAATTTTTATTAAAAAAATCTAATTAGTCATTTTTAATTATATATATATATATATTTATTTATAAAACTTAAAAAGAACGAGTCGCGCTTCATTAAGACCAACTACTTACTAGTGTTTATTTGTAGTTTTAAAACAGAAAGAAAAATTATGATATTTATTATTTTTTCTTTCTAGAAATCTTAAATTAGATAATATTTGTTTGAAATAAAATAAATAAATAAATAATATATGTAAAGATAATTTTAAAAACTTTCCGTGATCAAATCACAAATCATTATATATTATATATTTATCAAATTTGATAATAGTTATCTTAAAACTATAAACACTGCACCGGCTGTTAAATTATTATTATTTTCTTAAAACCATTCATATTAACTGCAAAAGAATAAAAATAAATAAAAAATCCTTTCTAAACTTATATCCTTTTTTAAGCTATTAACTCCTGAATAAGACTGCATATAATATGATGATGTGAATAGTTAAGGTTTACTGCGGATCGAAAAACTAAAATGATGACAAGTACTTAAAAAAAGTAGTGTATAAATCCTGAAGTCATAGTCATCATCATTAACCGATAATCCCATAGGAAAGAAAAACAGTGTACAGGAACCAAACTTATTGACAGATGGTTATAAGGTCTAGATCTGTCTTGAAACACTGAAAACTGATTAATCTCAAGTTGAATTTTCATTTATGATAAAATAATATTTAATATGCAGAAATTATATTTTATAAATATGAATTAATTTTTTATTATTAATTTTAAACTACTGTGTTTATAGAAAAAAGTACACGACGTAAATAATAATAATAATAAATCTATGTATACTAATAATATATCCTAATAATAAATAGAATTATTTTATTTGATGTTCAAAATTTTGTATTTATTTTATCTTTAATAATTATTAAAGGAACCACTTAAAACAGTCATAAACATTATTAAATAGTAAAAATTGTCATAAAAATTATCATTTTATCACAGTCGCACCAATCACCAAGTGGGAAACAATATAACGGGTCTCAAATTTGAAAGTATAAGTTTTAACAAAATCATTATCTAATACACTTTTTTTAAAATATATTTTATTATTAATTAAAATTTATTAAAAACTATAATTTTATAGGTCTGATTTCTTCTTCTTATTTTTTTTTTGATTTCTTTAATTATTCTAGCCTTTTTATATCTCAAAAGTCAATACAATTAATGTCTTATAATTTTAAAGTCTAATTAATATTTTTCTCAAATATACCCTTATTTAATATTCACTGTTTTCGTGGTATAATTTTTTTTTACTATTTTATCTTTAAATTTTAAATAATAAAAAATAATATTAAAAATTAATTATTCTTATAAATCTAAAATTACTTTTGAGGATTGAAGATTAGATTAATACTAATTAATTTAACAAATAATACTAATTTTTAAACATTTTTAAATAAATATAAAAATACGAAATAGAATAATAATGGTAATACTACATGTTTGCATACTTCTCAAATTCAAATAATATAGGGTAAGTGTACTTATGATAAAAATAAATATGTTGTCCGTAATGTAATCCATGTCTGCTTTGATTCAAGTTACAGTATCCATGAGATGGATTCTGATTCAGACACTCAATTAACACACACCTTATTAATATTGTTTATTTTGTTTTTATTTTTATATCATTATATTGATTACTTTTTTTTTTTTCTTCTTCTTTCTGTCTGTAGTTTATGATGAATGTTTAAGTATCATTTTCCCTATGAGAATATGAGATTACTGGTAGAATGTATTCAGTTGAGAAATCAATGACTAGTTCAAAAAGAAACCAGAATGATGGATTTCCTTATTTGCATGGGGCAATTGAATACCAAGTAGGTGAAATGAATTAATGCTAGCCAATTTAGTCAAAAAGAATATCTTTATTTCTTTTGTTTGTTTTCTTGACCTTATCGTACACACGGTGGCTGGTGTCAAAATTTAAGGGTTTATAAAAACAAACTTATTTATAAACACTTCTAGAGAAAAAAAAATATAAGTTAAAATTAACACGCATATATATATATATATATATAGATATATATATATATATGTAAATTCTCTTATATTAGTTAACTTTTTAAATTTATTTTCAATATACAAGTTAATTTTAATTTATAATTATTTTTTAAGTGTTTGTGCAAAAATTTATCTAAATAAACTATAAATAATATTTATTTTTTATATTTAAACTTTTGGCTTAACTGTGAAGAAAAAATAAATAATAAAACACAATTTTGTTTGTAACATTGAACATTTTAATTAGTAAATTGTTGATTTTATTAAATGTATTGTTATGTTGATTGTTGTTTTTATATTGAGAAATTCTAGAATTAAGGTATTCTTAATGAGATTTTAGTTGTTTAGAGGTTTTTTTAGGTAAAGATTCAAT